CCGGTGTGTTGCACGTACGACTTTTAATAGAAAAAAACCTGCACGCGCCATAACTTAAAAGAACGTGTCAGCGGAATGAATCAAATCTCTATCATTTTGCATACATTCTTGGGAACAGCAAAAATTACTTACAACAAACATTCTAAGTATAGTGTTCATTCCGTGCAATGGGGCATAAATTAAAGGTTCTGGTGGAAAAGACACCTTATTTTATACCACCGATGACAAGTAAAAAGGTTATATGGTTATCCCAGTTAAAAATATATTGATAACTCTATTAATTAATACCAGTTCTAATTTAAAGGAGAAAGTTACGAGAATCAAAGAAAAGTTGTCTGTACCACGAAGTATGCCTTCACTGTTTAGACTGATAGTCCTAAAGCTTTTTAAGCATGTATTCGAATATCTTATGACGATAGGCCCGCCACCCATCCCAACCTGCGCTATACTGTTCTCACTCAGCGGCTGGTTAGCGGTCACGTTTATGAGGTAAACAAACCGATCGATTCCTGATCACCGTTCTTGTCGATCAGAAAATCAAAATACCAGCGTGATATTGCCGCGAAGATGAAGCAGTTATGTTATTTGATTTGTACTTCACATTCGAGTCGAAACTTGGGTGGCACAGGTTATTTCTTACGGTGGAACCGACGAGGGGAATTCGAACACTAGTTATAGTGTTTGAATTGTTGGAAGAAATGGTCGCATGGAGATGGTAAGTTTACCGAACAATTTCAAATTTTGCCGCTTGAATTGAAAGTAAAGTTTACTTGAATTGCTTTCGTATGTATTTCTGACGGTTTTAGATCTACCTGCTTGATTTATATCGGTTACGCTTCATGTTGACAAGTCCCTCAAAATGGCGGCCAAACTTGGAGATTGCCGAAAATTAGGTAAGTTCACGGAGTGATAAAGTTCTCGTAAAGGTCGGGCCGCAAAGTTTTTTTCTGTAGTTACCTTTTCTATGGCACGTACTTCCTAGCTATGTTAGTTGGATCAGTTAAGAACGCCTCACTTTTTCAAAAATTTACCTTGAATTTGATCGGTTTTGGCGTGTGTGATTTAGACGAACCGATAAGGTGTCATTCAAGTCTTCCTGTTTCCTTGATTGAAACGTGATGTTTACGAAAGTCGCCTCGATAGATAAGATAGAGTTAATATACATGGCTGTGGTATTTGTTTTTTGCTGAGTTCCGTAGTTTTTTGTAAATTTTCCTCCAAAGTTGTATGAAATTAAAGTCTTGAAAAGTGTCACGACAAGCCTTCGCTCGAGTGAAATTTAATTTCCGTAAAACTCTGAAAAATAAAGAGATCCGATCAAACCGATTGTGGTTTTAGTATAGGTACATGAATGTCTTACAACACACGAGAAACGAGCGAAATCCGTGTCTCAAGCAAAATCGACCGGACCGCTCTTACAGAGACACTCTCTTAAAGATCTCTACCGCTCGATGTTTGAGCTGTTGCGCACCTTCCACAGTAGTATCTCCGGTAATCAAATCATCTACATACCGACTGTTCTTGATTTCTTGTACAGTCCCTGGGTACTCGGACTGCAAACTTTTTAGGTGTTGCTGTATTACTGCAGTAATAGTAGAAAAGAGTAGAAAAGGAGAAGGTGCTAGACCAAACACCACTCTCGTGAACCTTAGCACTTCCAGCTCTTCAGTCGATTTGTCTTTAATCCAGTAAAATCTTAGCGCCTCACTTTCAGATTCCTTGACGCGTATCTGCAGGAAAGCCTTGCGCATATCTCCGGCTACTGCAATAGGATGGAATCTATTGCGGACAATGACATTCCAAAGTTCATTCTATAGCAGGGGACTAGTGTGTACACACTCATTCAAAGATCGCACACTGTCATGCGCACGGGCCGAGGCGTCATATACCACTCGTAGCTTGGTTGATTCTGCATTCTCACCCATTACCACTCGGTGGGGCATGTAGAATTATTTTCCTGTTACCTTCGCTGATGCCCTCTCAACTACACCTTCCTCCAGTTGCTCCCAAATAATATCGTCGCACTGGTCCAGCAGATCAATTCTCTTTAATTACCGTAGAAGAGAGTTCACTCTGCACAAACTGCCCGCACAATTATTGAGCAACTCATGAAAGTTCCCTTTCCAGGGTAGTCTAGTTTCGTATCGCCCGTCTGTACTCCTGGTTAGTTTCTCCATGAATTCTTCGTGGACGTCGCTTTGGTGTGAAGATAGCTGGTTCTCGAGTCTCAGGACATCTAAGGCGCAGCAGAAGTAGAGGAGATCCAGTAGCAGAGCGTAGACGTTTCGGGTGGACTATTATGTCCCCTGTATCATATCTAGGCAACGCGTACCTTGCCGTGAATTCTACGGTTGATCACAACCGACTCTGGGCGTGAAATTACGCCTAATATAGGCGCCAATGCGACTAAATGTTTCACTTTGGCGACCAAATCCTGAAAATTAGTCGCCAAATTGGCGACTAGAATTCATAACCGACAACTACGTCCGGCCCGTAAACGATCACTTGTCCGTATCATGGCAAAGTCATCAGCGCCGATAATCACGTGCACAGGTAAACGAGCCTCTGTATCACTATCCTCCATTTTAACACCTCTCAGGTGAGGGTAATATTTTACGAGATTGGAATACCCTGGGTTGTCTAAGGTCAACAGTTCCCTTTTTTCGATTTTCGTGACATTTACGTTTAGTGTGAAATCTCCAGTCACAGAGCGCATGAAAAATTCGTAGACTTGCATAGTTCTGGTTTGAACGCCTGTAAGCATAGCGATTTGGTACAAACTCGTAATCTTTACCTCAGCTCTAATTAACTCAATCGCTGTTGACGAAACATATGAATGGCTGGCGCCACGTGCACTGTCCAACAGGACTCTGAATTTATATCCGCCCATGTTTATGACTACTACGGGATGAATAACACTGGAATCGCCAATTAAATTTGGATTCATTCCTGGTTCTTGTCTTTCCTTCTTGTCATTTATGAAGTGTGGTGCTTTCCATTGCAAATTCTTTAAGTATTTCTGCTCTTACAATCGCTGGCTCGGTGTTGGGCACCTGTACAATTGAAGCACAAGCGCTTATCGGCAAGTATTTTCTTCTTACTTTCTTCAATGCTTTGGACGCTATCACAGTTAATTCCCTTATGCTGTTCGCTACAACAATAAAGACACGCCCCCGGGCTCGCCCTAGACTGGTTTCCGGTTCCTTGTTGTTTAGCAAGAAATGCAAAAAAAGCTCAGGACTGATCTCAACGGAAATTTGAGCTCTTTGATTTCGGTTCGTTTTAAATGGGATTATTAATTGTCCATTTCTCTAGCGCTTCTAAGAATTCCACTAAAGTCCATTCGCACTAATTTTCATCTATCATAGCAAGTTCGTTCTTCATCACGTCAAGCTTGACGAAGGTAAATCGAACCGCGGCGTCCAATTTGAATACACTTTTCAATGTTCGCAGTGACTCTACATTGAACAGTAGTGCTTCGTAAAATTCATGTATCTTCTTTACGTTTCTCTCGCGCACGGTGGGTAGCTCCAAAATGTTTCTACGTAAGTTCCCACAACTTCAATCGCTTTTCCATATCTTCTTGTGAGTAAATCTTTAGCCTTTTGGTAACCTTCAGGTGCAAACGGAAGACTGTCGATGAGATTTCGTCATTTAAGTATCGTACAGTTTCCGACAATCCCCCATCCTTTTCCTGTTCTTCATTTCGGTTTCGACATTATCCGGCGGGAAAAACTTCCTGTCCAGAGTTTTAGCCGCGTAATGTTTTTAAGCATACTTTGTACTATCAAATAAGAAAATACAGTGGCCCATAGGGACTAACCACAACTCAATTTCTCTTCTGAAAGGCAACAATCTTTTCAAGCACACAACGAAATCTTCTGAAACACAACAATCTTTTCCAGAACAAAACGAAATCTTCTGATACAATACAATCTTTTTCAGAACACGACGAAATTTTCTTAAACAAATTTTCAAAGTGCTGGTAACTAAACCTGTCGCGGAAAGCGATCAGAACCTGTGACTAGCTCTCCTGATCTTCGCACTTGTACTACCCGCCATGTTTGGTCATACCACAGGCGGCTTAAGCTCCAGTTGTGCGATGATCATCTTGCGAAATAAGAGTCATAGTGAAATGTACGTAGCAATATTTCATCATTTTTATTATATTTGATTTAAACTTGTTTTCTTTTAAATTTAAACTCCGTTTTCAAAATTTATTTAAACTTAAAACAAATTCCTATTTAAACACATTTAAAACTATTCAATAGTAACATAATAAATAATAATCCTTTTAATTCATTTAAGTTTAAAATTTTTAAATTTTATCGAAAGTTACGAATTTGTATTTGATTTGAACTGCGAAATTCTACTGGCGGTCAAAAACTGACAGCAACACTGAGTCTGATTACAGTGAGGGCAGACTACTGACAAAAAAGGGGAGAGGTAGATCTTTAAGGCCCCTTGATGAATTTTTCATAATCATGTGTAGACTAAGGCAAGGATTCCCAGAGGACCATCTAGCTCAATTATTTAATGTATCAGCATCCACACTAAGTAGAATATTTATCACATGGGTCAAATTTTTGTTCTTTAACTTTGGACAAATAAACATTTGGCCCAACATACAAGTAATCTATATAATGCCTGAATCTTTTAAGGGAAGGTACAAATCTACTAGAGTCATAATTGAATGTACTGAGGTTAGATGCCAAATGCCAAGCAGCTTGCAGTTGAATAGAGAACTTTTCAGGGCTTACAAAAATCACACAACTTTGAAAGGTTTGGTTGGTATTTCTCCCAGTGGAGCAGTGACATTCAGAAGTCAACTGTATACAGGTTCTATCTCTGATCGGGAAATTTTCAGAAGGAGTGGATTTTTAAATCTACCATTTGATGGAAAAGACTCCATTATGGCAGATAAGGGATTCACAGTTTAGGATTTGTTGCCTTTGGGAGTCAGTTTAAATTTGCCACCCTTTCTTGGAGTATCTTCTCAGATGGCTGAAGAAGATGTGGTAAAAACGCAGGAAATTGCAAGTTTACGGATACATGTTGAACCTGCCTTTAACAAGATTAAGAATTTTCACATCTGGGACGGAGTTGTTCCACTACATCAAATGGGAATTGCAAACCAGATGTGGGCAGTGTGTGCATTCTGTTGTAATGCACAACATAACATAATATCAATGTGAATATCACATTCATGTGAGGCATGAATGAATTACTTAACCTATAAATTGCCTACGAATCTCTTCTCTCCCTAGATTGTAAGGGGCTACATATTGGGCATTAAGATAAAGACAACATTTTCCCCTCTGTTCTGACTATTTATCGTAAGGTTTACATCATAATTGAGCGACATCTTTTGTGTCTGTAAAGACCATGTTGTCTATGTTGTGTTTAAATTATCTTTGGTGCAAAATGTTTAAACCAGTTTGGTTTTAATTTTCCTTTGTATTCTTTAGCATACTTTGAAACAAAGGAGATTAAAAATAAAAAAAAAGGAAAAATTTCAACCCACAACAAGTTAAAACTACAACGTAAGAATTTATTCATGTAAGGTATTAATTCCCAGTCAACAAGTAAATTCACAAGACTTCACAGTCACTGTTGTTATTTACTAGACAATTTCAATTGAAAATCTAAAGTAATAAGAAAGCAGTTTCTGCCCTTGTTCGGCCCAAAAACCAGGGTCGTTTGTAGTCATGCACTTGCTTCACCGGCTCTGCTTTTGTCGTCAACCTTATTCCCGCGTCTCCACGACATTTATGCCAAAATTTAAGCTCTGAGATTTTTAACTCCTCAGGTTTTCTTCCAAGAAGAGAAGCGCCAGGTATATCGTTTTCCGTAAGAAATGTCGGATTTGAAATATTCGAAGTACTCGCCATAACAAACGAAGAGGGACGCGACGCAATAGTTTGGCCTTTCTGACCTCGTTTTCATGCAACTCGATCCAGGACTCTCGCGATGTCCGCCATTATGAAAGTCGTGTATCACGTTGGGCGGAATATCTGAACGACCTCGATATGCCCCGATTCCTTGGACTTTCTTGATTTTGCTGTTGGTTTGCTGGAAGGGAAATAAGCTTCATCAATCTGTACTGGCAACTCTAAAATGGCTGACGGGCTAGAGAAATTTTTTAGATATGTGTAGGAGAGATCCAAGGAAATGAATGGAGGCATTCACCCCGAAAGTGGAGGAGACGACTGTGAGAACTTGCTTAGTGAACTACTGTTGCGCGGCGATTTACTCGGCAAGGCTGTCCAGTTCTTGCATAAAATTGGAAATATATCATCTCTTGACTATCAGGATAAGATGGGAAAAAAAGTTAGAAAGGGAGTTTGTATGTCTCCATAGTGATTGTTATTATGAATTCACTCCATCTGCGTTGACTTGCGAGCTACCTTTACCTACTGTTAACACAAAACGTTCTGGAAGGCCTGCTTATAGGAATAGGAAAGAAGGAAAAAAAATGTAATATACTGTTAAATAAAGTCAAGGCGTGAAGTAGCATTTTTTCACATTCCTTTTTAAGTAAGATAAATGTTTGGTAGTAACCTAACCACCCTATTTTTACACTGATAAGTGGCAGTTGCTTGTTGCTTGGATATTACTTCTTTGTCACAGTTTCAAATAAATTGAAGGTTATATTAAAAAGAGATAAACATGTCATTTCAGTGATTCATCAAGTGTAAATGTTGGATTAATTTTAAAACTAATAAAATACCAACTGCAAACTAGTGAGCTTGTCTCAAGTAGTTTTTATATAAAAAGGCATTGATCGATCCCTTGAATTGGCATCCCTCCTCTCCAACTTGACTCAAAAAAGGTTCATCTATTGTTTTTTAACCAAATAAAGCCTTAATAATGTCTTAAAAGAAGAGATGGTCACATTTGGCTGCATAATAATATTTGGAAATACCCCATGCCATTAAATAATTTCAGTAGTACATTGTAATTTTGCTGGCTCAACTATTTTTCTTTTTATTAGAGCAACACCAGTACAAACGTGAACTTTAACTGCACAGTTGTTCTAATAATTTTGTTTATATAATTTAATTTAATATGAGAAGGATACAATATTTTATAATAAAAACTCAATGCATAGGTTGTGCAAAAACCTTTAATTTGACTATACTTTTACAGCCAATACCAGTCCCTTCAAATGGTAAATTGTAAGGAGGTTCAGAGCAAAAATAATCTGCCATACATCTGCAAGATTTGATGTAATTATTTTAATTACAAGAATATTAACTGATACTAGAAGATCTAATAATATTAAAAAAAATAATAAAATTTGGTTGAAAAATTAGAATTCAGCACTGGCTGGATAAACAAGGTTCTTAGAAAAAGAAATGTGTACTAATGAAAAAGCTAAGCAAACTTTTTTACAACACCTGCCTGTATCTATATGGCATGTAGTAAAGTCTTTTGAAGTAGTCATAATCCCAGTTTCATATGTTGAAAACACATGCACATGCAGATTTCCTGTAAACCTATAGTTTAAGCCTGAGATGACTTCGAAATTTTGATGCAAACCTCAAAAGGAGAACAAATAAATTTCATGTTTCTATTTATTCAGTTTAGGTTGATGAAGTAAAATTGAGTAGATTATTCAATGTACAATGTACAATGTACAATGACAGGTTCAAGAAATTTTCACTACTAATTTTTAAGGTTAGCCTACCTGGAACAATCATCTTGAACTGATGATGCCCAACAGAACTATCCGTGGTAAGAGGGCAGGCTTTCCTTTCTTCATTTAGAGAAATAATGATGTTATCATCTTTCCACAAGCTCAGTGGAAAGTGAGAGTGAATGAGACTGATAGTGTCTTTGTTACTTAAATAAATATCCAGAGCCAGGATAAAAAGTCAGACACGGTCTGCAAAACTCTCTCACTTTAATTTTTTAACCAATTAAGCTAAAGCTTTAAATTCTTGCTTTGTGATTATGTGGATGCCAATTACTGGTAATTTAACTTTTATGCATCAAAATACAAAAAAATGTTCTCTTCATCTATGTGCCCTGAACATTACAGGGGAGGAGGCAGATTAAATTAAAAACATGAATTAAAATAAGAGGGCCCCCATTAATTGCAGTCCTAATTAAAGGAGGATCCTTGTTTTACAAGATTCCCACCCTTTTAAACTCACATATCTTGTGACCAATTCCTTATTTCAATGTTCAGTATGGGTAGGACCATTGGTGAGAAACACCATGCATTAATGAAAGCTTGAGCTAGTGTATTTAATGCAATCTAAATAATAATATTACATGTTACAGTATGGTAACCAACCCAGCAATTTATATAATCACACAATTCCAAACAAAGGAAGTCAGGTTATTGACTTGCCTGCTTCAACTTTTGAGGGCTTATGGTACTGAGAATTAAGACATAGTAAACAGCTACAAGTAATACAAAGTTAAAAATTTGAAGATAAGTAATGAGAATAAAGAAAAATATAAACTTGAAAATAATTAGTTGATTCAATACTAAATTCTTAGAACTAACATTATAAGGCTTGTATAGTTGACAGTAAGGAGAATTACAAATTTGAACTGGGAGTTTAAAGGTTAAATTTTATTTGATCAAAAATATGAATGGCAATAGAGGAAATTAGCTAGCACAATTCAAGTTTCCCCTCTTTAAGTATTCTGTGATGTTTCTCTGTCACATGGTAAAGTTTACAGTTTCCCTCATTTCACTGTCTTCTGTTCACTTGTTTGTTTGCTTTCCTAACAATCTTAGCTATAGTTGCCAACAAATGCGAGGAGCACATACATGAAAATGTGTACAGCTAATAACACTTTAATCCCTGAGTCACACATTAAGGTCATGAGAATAAAGGAAATGATAATCAACTGAAGAACCTCTTGATTGTTAAACAGATTCTCCTTGCCAACACATAAGGAAATATATAGAGAACAGTTTGGAGAATATGCATTCTGATATTGGAGTGTAAAGGGTTAAAGACATCATGTAATCAGTTATATATATGTAGAGTAATGCTTGAATATATGATTGCATTAAGTACAAATGCCACGTAAACATCATTCTGTGGTCTTCTACTCTTCCACCCTGAAGGTTGCCTTGTGTAACAAAAAAACAAACCTTTTTAAAGACACCTCTACAATGGTAGGTACACACAACTGACATGTATGAGTGAAGCATGTCAAGCATTAAGGTATGATTGTCAATTTGCCTTTTATTACTTGCAAAAAGCTTACTTCTAGCAGCCTTAAAAACTTCTGTATCCCCACTTTCAAAGAAAAGCATTTCCCATGAAAATTTAAGCATTAAAGACATAAGCTACCAGCAACAGGTTTTTCCAATGCAAGTGTTTCATATCATCAGATTCTCATCACATACTAAATCCTCCAAACTAACATCACAAGAACTGTATAGGAGATAGTAAGGAGAATTACAAATGAGATCTTGGGAGTTGAAGGGTTAAGTCCCACTTTTAACCTAGGCAGAATTTCTCTTTACACTATTAGTATGATATAAAGTAGACAAGCAAAGAGAATTAAGACAAATATCAATTTGAGGATTATTGGTTGATCCAATTCCAAATTCTCAAATTTAACATCACATAAATTGTATGGTAGACAGTAAGTAGGATTACTCATGAAATTTTGGGAGTTAAAGGGTTGAGACACATATGGTAATTATTTGTTAAAGAAAGACAGCAAATAAATGTAACAGTATATGCCAATAAAGTGTTCTTATGTAGAATGAAGTTTCAAACTCATTGAAATTAAGTTGACTTCATAATTCATATTTTAGAGAAACATGAGAAAGAAACCCCTTACAATAAAATAAAGTAGAAGCATATTGTATACATGTCTACGCTTCTGAATACAGCTATAATAAGTATTTTTTGAGTAATTATATACATATGTTAACCAAGTGCAATATATGGTCATAAAAGCAATTTTATTCTAACCTTCCTACTTGAAGGGTGCCTTGTGTATCAAATATATCAAGTTCAGTACCTCCAGAGTCACAAGCCGGGCTTTTAGGGCTACAAAATAATAAAATAATCATCGAGTTATGTCAGGCCAATTTATCGAGAGTTAATTAAGTATAGTTTCCTACAATCGTATGAAATTTTAAAATGCGCTTCACTTGTGCTATATATACGGATTTGTCGTTCTTAATTACTAATGAAATTCCGAGGGTGTAACTCAATTACTCCAAGAGAGAATATCCAAGTAGGTTACAGAAATGGTTCGCGAATTGTATACTGTTAATATGTTGACAAAATTTCCCCAAATTATGGTGCCGATACGAATCTATCATTCATAATCGCTTATGACATTCCGAGACTAAACCTCAATGAATTTAACATAAAATATCCAGGAAGGTTACAGAAACAGACTCTCAAAAACTGCTCTTGAATTCGATAACTGTAAACAACAATTATTTACGTGAACCATGTGCTTACCAGCGCGCTTGTGAGGTCAAATTGCCAGAACCCCGTTTAATTGCACGATCACAGCTCAGACGCTTCTTGCAAAATGTGCAGACTACCAATTTTAGAGATTAATTCTTCAGTTTCCAGCATATGGAAAAAAGTATCGTATCGCAAGCATGTTCATCATAACGCCTCGAGATGTTGAGCGAAGAGAAAGTGGCTCCATGTTTTGTGACACAAACCATTTCCTGAAGTTTGAACGAATCAAGTAGAAAGCATGAAAACATAGCGCTGAAAAGTACGACAACCAAACGATTAAATTCACCCATCCCGCTGTAGAAGCATCTCCATTTTACCCGTGAGTTTGTTTGCACCACACATTTGCGGTCCGTAATTTGATTCTCAGATGTTTGACGGGTTCTCACATGACAATATCGTCAAAATCAATTTACCGCGTTAGACTTGATATAAATATGAACATCGCTTACTCAATCCCATTTTATTTTAATTTTGGGAAAGGCCATTACTTCGTTCTTAGGGTAAAACAACACATCTTCGGCAAAAGCGCAAATTTTTCAAATGAACAGAGTAAATCCTGAGATAATTAACTGAAGAGAAAAAAAAAGGAGAAACTTGCGCTCGCCGTTCGACATCATTTGAAAGCTTTCTAGGCAAAACAAAATACGTAAGATAACTTCTTTTCCCATAACACCACGACTGTAATAAACTTTCAAACGAAAGGATAAGAAATAACTTGAAGAATACGAACACTATGCAATATTATTCGAGCGATGAACCGGCGTAAGAGTTTTTAGACGATGAATGCCAGAGTCAATGTTTAACCGAAACGTAATCAGTTGAATTCAAAACTGAAGTTAGCATCAAACGACGATTGGAAAAAAAAAGTTTGAATTTTTTTTTGGGTCCTAGCGTAAGAGAAAACCCAGATAGGACACGACTTACCTTCTCTTCTTTCGCGGATCCTTTGCAGTTCGCTTCTCTTTGTTGATGACCTCTTTTCAGTCTGTTTTCAGAAGCGACTTTGTATTTCCTTCTCGCGTTGCTCTTCGCTAGAGACTCGCCTTTTTACTTATGCCCTTTATTGTTCTCTTTCGTGTTCCTCTCGCCGTGTTCTCCCTATTTTGGCGTCCTTTCATATCAAACTCTTTCCCCAGCGCGACGAACATTTGTTTTTCTCGGTTCCAGGTGTACGCGACCACTAACCCTACGTAATGCGCATGCTCTCCGTTGCGAATTTTCAAAATGGCGGACAGGCTAAAGAGGGAAATAAAAAAAGCAAAGCGATTTTGCAATAAATACTTAACATAGAAAGGCGAATCCACGATAGAAAGATACAAAACTGTATGAAATTGATATCAGGGAGGTTGACAAAATCAACAAGAGAGGTTGAAAATTCATTACGTTGGCTATAGCACATGCTTCGATGAATGGACACCCTTCAGGGCCGATAGAGGATCTGGATATTTTCCGTTTGTTCGCAGCGAAAGGCTGTTCATTCCCTCGGAAAACTCTCTAGAGGATAGAAAAGAATCGTTCCATGGCCAACTTGCTCGTGAAATAAAGAAAAAGCTTTGGTCTGGACGGCGAGAGGACCCTGATATAAACATAGACCTTAATGTTGACCAAGATGTTTTCATGGAAGGTCTAGGGAATGTTTTTCCCGGCGTTCTTCAAAGAGGGAAGATGGTTTACCAATTGGAGTCAAATAGGGTGCTTGATTCATATCTGGGGCTGAAGTAGGATGAAAGAATTTTAAATGTAGCTGAAGATTTTGCCTATGTAATTCCAGGAACTATTAAGTATTGGTTGGGACAAAGAAGTCCAATCATTGAATACAAGCTCATCGTTGTAGGTGTTCTTAACCCTTTCATAACCTGCTGCCTCCAGAAACTGAATCCTGTTTTTCTTCAGAAACAGTTGTTTGAGGGCATCAACCCCTTTGTGATTTGTGGATCTGAAGAAATCTTTAGAAGCTCTATTATTGTATTTTTCCAAGCCTTGCTGTGTGTAATATGCTATGTTCTGATAAAGTGACAGGAACTCAGGAACATGATAACATAGTGCATGCATGTAGGGAGTGACATCTTTTGCTTGGTAAACTTTGAGAAAGTGCTCAAACCATGATTTGATATTTCTTTGCAGTTCAAGAATACCCTCTTCAGATGTAAAATCTAGCTTCAAATCACCAATTATGTCCATAAATGTAGCCCAGATCACTTGTATGTCTTTGTTTTGACTGCAATGAGGGAGAAGCATAGGTCGGAATGTTTATATTCTGAAATAGTTTCAACTTTTCTGGTCCAGTAAGATCTCTATATTCCAGCTTTTTGCTCTCTTTGTTGATTCTAAAATTAAAAGTGATTCCCATACTTTTGATAAATTCTTCATAACATGCCATGTGTTTATATTTATCTCTTGGGAATCCATCAGAGGTTTTTTTTTTTTCTCAATAGCATCACTTCTTCTCAGCTCTCTTATGAACAAGTCAATCAAAACATCTGAAATCCTTTTTAATTCAAAAAAGTTTAATTTCTTTCCAGTTTAATTTCTTTCCAGTGGAAAACCTTGCTATTTCGGCGACAGTTCTAGCACCAAGCGGATAACCCTCGACTTCGAGAAAGCAGTTTGGGCCGTGCTGAGAAACCTGTTTCCTGATGTCAAGCTGCAGGGATGCGCATTCCACTGGACGCAAGCTCTGTGGAGAAAGGTAAGATGATAACTAACTTTAATTTAGTGATTTTTCGTAAATTTTGGAAAACACATTTAAGCGACATGTTACTAGTTTAGCGATTTTGAAAATTCCGTATTTTGCGATTTCCAATTCAAAACATTAAATTCGGATAAGAACATTGATTTGCTAAAATCATATATGCCCTTTAACTGATACAACTTTTATGGGATTAAAATAAGTTAAAACTTAAAAAAAAAACTGTCATGATGTTTTAATAACACACAACACAACACACTCTAACACACACTTGCTTATATTCTGTTTAATTTTCTTTGCTAGGTTCAGGCGCTTGGGCTGACAAACAGTTATTACAACGACAGAGGCACCTACACTTACATCCGTAAGATGATGGCACTTCCGTTCTTGCCCGAGGGAGAAATCCTGACCGAGTTTCAGCGTCTTCAACGCCAGGCAGAGTCCCCGACCTTAGCAGAGTTCGCCGAGTATGTCAACAGTACCTGGATCAGCAACGCGACATGGAGCCCTGCCGACTGGACAGTCTTCAAACAAGCAGTACGAACGAACAACGACCTCGAAGGCTGGCACCACGGGATCAACCGTCGAGCGGCTGGCAAGTCACAACTCCCACTTTACGTCCTGATCAAGCTGCTACACCAGGAGGCCCAGCTGACAGCTATCCAGATCCGTTTGGTATCAGAGAAAAAACTACGAAGGATCCAGCGCCGCAAATACAGAGACCTGCAGGCAAAAATCTTCGATCTCTGGGAGCAATATGACAACCACTAGAGGTCCGCCAGACAGCTACTGAAAGCCTGTTCTTTCCTGAACGGTCCTGTTTAAAGAGCAGCAGACACCACAACCATCACAAACAAAAGGCTCCTTTAGGAGCCACCAAATAAAATAAAAGAAATGACGAACAATGAATATGATTTATAAATATTGCTTTCAAAGAATCGCCATTTTTAAACGTTGTCAAATCCAGCCGTGAGTGAGACTGGGTTCGACTCCGGTTAAAAATGGCGAGTCTTTAGTCGCGTTGCAATACTCTTTCTTTTCTTTTCCCTTATCCTTCTGTCTTTTATCAACCTTCCACGTTAGTTTTCTTCATGGAGCGAAGTAACTTATGTATGGAGCGAAGTAACTTATTTGATGGAGCGAACTAACTTCCGAGTGGAGCGATCTGACTTCGGTATGGAGCCATCTGACTTGGAGCGATCTAACCATGGAGCGATCTAACCGTAATTCCCTCTCCTACTGCTTTCACGCTCACAAAACAGGAAAAAAATCAAAAGGAGGAAGATACAGCTGTTTTGAAACGCCTTTTGACGAGGGTAAATCTGCTTTTTGTTCGGCACTTTACATATCAAAACAAAGGAAATTTGTTCCTCTTTTTGATTCTGGCGGTACATTTTTAAATTGCGCCTGCGTAAAAGGGATATCGCCCGGGACGCTTCGCTCGGTTGTGTTTTAAACAAAAACGCCTTGTTAATTTCACGCAACCTCTCGGAGAAAAGGTTAAAATGACGAGGGAAAAACTTTATCTTCAAGTTAGAAAATTAGCGACATAGAAAGCCACAATATTGTAGTTAAATATTTCAGAGGTACATTGAGTGCTTTTTCCGTAGAGAATCCGCACGATGGTAAAATGTTCGAAAATTACACTCGATTTGAGTGGGGTGTTGAAGGGGGCGTGGTCACTATATTCGTGTTAAGACTATTTGTACCCCATGAGTTTGATATGTAACTTTCTTACGCGATTTTCTGGACTCGCTTTACGCCGTTTACTTGTTGCTTCTTTTGGTCGCTTTGTCTCTTTATATCCAGCCTATTTTGAATTAAAACCCTCTCTCCATGAACTTGAATTATATCAATTTCCTCCGGTTGACAAAGCTTAAACTCTGCCGGTATTGTTGTCTTACGAGTTGTTTAGAAATTGCAAAATACTGAGAATTACTGTTCAACTACATCCTGACCAGTTCGATTTCCCGCTCAAAACGCGGGTGGCAAATTTCATCTACTAGCTCACGTGAAGCCCTCGTGCAATGCCTAACCGTGTGCCCGCAGTACGCTACACTGCAGCTCGACGTTCGAGTATGCGCACTTTATCGTCATCTGACGGTGTCTCTTGGCACACACTGATGGGGTATCCAAGTTACGCACGCAATCGCGCCTGCGCATTACCTTCTCCCTCGCCCTTCCATTACGTAATGGCTAAGATAGTGCCCGTGGTACAGTTGGCCGCGCATGCTAAAAGTAGCACCTTGTGCGGTCGCACGGTCTAACGGTCCTACAACCAAATTTTTTCGGCTTGATGGGTTACTATTACTACTATTTCGTATAGTTATGGGGCTACGCTCTGCGAGCTCCGCTATAACTTATTGGTCGAACTTGGGTATCCTCTGATAGCTGATGAACTGTAAAGCAAAGATACTCCTTGTATATCTCAATATGTTACACTTAACGTAAGTTTTTACGTTCCGCCGAAACCCTTCTTTTGTTACATTTTAAGAATGCCCAGGTAAAAAGAATTCGGCAAGCGTCTCGTTTTAGATTAAGTCTTATTATTTTTAAAAACTTGTGCTGGCTACCCTCAAAAGTTCATACTTAATTTCAAGAGCAAAGGACTTTTTCTCGTTCCGCCTGTGTTTTGCAAGCTGTTTGAAGAAAATGAGGAATTAGAAAATGAAGGAAAAAAACTAACACAGTTTTAAGTGATGGAGAACAAGTCGAGATATTCCTTTATGTTTGGCGAATTAGTCGCACTGGATATTGAGTATCGTATATCGGCCGGGCGTATCGGTGAGCTAAAAAGCCTTAAAGCCTAGGACGTACTTGTTGTACAAATCGAAAGCAACTTTAACTTTAAGAGGCGTGTTATAAAATTGGCACGGTCTCCGTTTTATATCGTGCAAAGTTACAAGCAGGATCTTAACACTTTCCTTTGTTTCTACCGTGCGAAGCAAGACAATGGCTGCGAAGTTAATGAAGCAAGTAACTAACACGCAGCTAATGAGAAGTCCTTTTGTTTTAGCTTACTAATGTACTGTGTACGTGCGTTCACCTTAGTCAATGAAATAAAAGGGTCACATATAATACCATACAAGCTTTATTGTGTCACACGCCTAGTTGTTCAGGTGTGACATTACATAATGAAATGACACACCTGTTGTTTCCGATAATTCCGATGTTCGATAACTCGCGATTTCCTGTAAATATTTCGGGATCGATGTTCGATTTCACACGTACGCAAACTTGAATTTTCAATGTTCTTATTTATTATGTTCCAAAATCATCTTATATTACATTTGATATTATTAACTCAACCGGAAGTCACGCAATGTTACGAAATAGTAACGCACTATCCTTTTCGTCTCTATAACAACACCATCTAATTTACGGGTGTTTCACATAAATTAAAATTAAATTTTTAAGTAGATACTATAACATATGACTAAAAGCTTTAGACCAGCACCTTAAGTCAGGATCATAAAATACAATCTAAAATAATTCCACGCTATGCTAAGAAGTAAAAACGATAATCATATTTACTAGAAAAGGTAAAACAATACTGTAAAAAGGTTTGGTTAAAATGCCTAAAAGTTCAATTTCCTCGAAACCTCTTTTGAAAATCGCCTATACATTCTAATATACTTCTAATCTAAGTCAAACCAGAACTAGCATAGTACCTGCTCAACTAAAGGCTAAAAACAAACATATTTCGTCGACATGAGTTCCAAGTCATTCGCTCGAGCTCATTGTCCTTAAAGCCATCTAAACCATTTGGATTTTAAACCTAAATTGACACCTTACTAGCTAGAGAGGGTAATCAGGCAGCTAAAAATTTGTCTGTTCTAGCTAGACCTTAGCTTTTGATGTTTCCAATAAATTAAGTTTTACGTTTAAGTTACCTTAACGTCGACCAGATTACTATTTGAGCACTGACTTTCACAAAACTACAAAGTACTTAAGGGATATACATGGTTTTGGCATATAATTATTTACACAAGAGGGGAATTAAGGGGGTTGTGGGTTCTTGCCGCTTGTTTCAAATTATGAATTACCTTTTGCGCTTCAGTTCTCGAGTTCATCGAGCTGCCTCTCTATATCGTTATCTTAAAGAAACATATTGTAGACACGGTCAAACACCCCGGTCATCAAGTGGTAATAATATTTGATCATTTCACATATGACTGATAAGATGGACACCTCTATTGTTATAACGCTCAAAGCGCCTGTCTCCTCCATTTGGTAGATGTTCACTTCAGCTTCTGCAACATGTTGCAGATTCGCACATATATCTGGTACCAATTCGCCCGGTGGTATCCACTGCGGGTTGCATACCATCTCATTGTCTCTGTAGGAGAGGCTGCCATTTCGCACGAAAGTTTTCATCACAAGCATCCCATGTTTTGTTCTGCCGTTCATTTGCTCTTCGTCGGAAAACCCTGAAAAGTTTAAAATATCCATTACGCAAACTATAGATTGAGCGTGTTGTGTTTACTGAACATGCCACATGAATATTGGGTTTTCATGAGGTAGAGAACATTAAATAACCAATGTAAACGTCCTGAAGGACTACAATCTCTCTGTGATAGGAAGTACATTATTTCAGAAAGCAACCGAAACTTGCGTCGGTCTAGGTTAATACTCTCAGAAAAGGAAGATATTGTGTATATAATTCACACTATCTTAAATATGTGAGGACGCCAATCAATCCTCTGGACGAGAAAAAACATTTCACACGGGCTGGACCCCTGACGCATCACGATGGAACACACATTGTATTCTATACTTCGCAGCCAATGAAATCAAATGAAAAAAAAAAATCGCGAAAATCACCTCTCTTAATCAAACTAAATTAACTATCCATAAGATAAAGACTTATTTGAAAATCGATAGTTCTGGAAATATCGAACTTCATGTGACCGAGATTTTTAAGTATTCATTAAAATAAAGAAAAAAATTGTGTCAACTCAAAATGAAACCAACCCATCTATAGCTTAAGGTAAAATTAAACATATCGATACTCTCAACTATAGTTACTTCATTCCTCACCAGCAAGGTCACCCTCATTTACCCAGACATAGTCAGCCATATCGCCTGAATGAGAAGTCAGCACATCTTTTGTTTCCGTTGTCTTCCTCGAAGCAATTTTTCTGGTATAGTCTTCCGAGAGTCCATCCCCGTTATCTTCAAGATCTTCTCTCTCTGTGCCCTTCTTTCTCTCTTCTTTTAATTTATCTCCTTTGCCATAACAACTCGCCTCCGACACAGACGTTTGTTTGTTCACTTCTTTCTCCGCTAAACTGTGTGCTACATCCATTGCATGTGGATGATCCGTAAATTGCTCGTGCTCTTTCGCTCCTGGCTTTTCAGTCACGGGTGTCTTGTGAAGTGTTTCCTGAGGCACTTTTGGCTGATCATTTGGCTTCCATTCAAACTGTAGTCCACTCTTTCTTTCTTCTTTCAATTTATCTTCTTTGTAATAACACCTCATCTCCGACACAGACGATTGTTTTTTAACATCTTTCTCCGCTGAATTGCGTGCTATATCCATTGCATGTGAATGATCCGTAAATTGCTCGTGCTCTTTCGCTTCCGGCTTCACAGTCACGGGTGTCTTGTGAAGAGTTTCCTGAGGCACTCCTGGCCGATCATTTGGCTTCCATTCAAACTTCTTTCCACTCTTACTCGGGTCAAAATAATGTAGTAGCGCTTCCTCGTGAATCTTTCGGTAAGTTTTGTTCCACGAAAAGATGAAACTTTTTCTTCCGTCAAGAAACTCATCTTTAAACTGAGAGGAAACCTTTCTCTTGGCCCAACGTGATATCACAGATGATTCTTCTTCATCTTGATTCTTGTAGTGATCGTCTCCGCCAATAACAACTATAACCTTTCCTTCTGGTTAAAGGAAAAAAGAACGATTAATCATTCGTTTACTGCAAAAACAAAACTGCTTTTGAAATTCAATCGCTTAAGTCACGCCACCGACTCCAATGTAGGTTAAAAGAGAAATGGAACGGCCATCTTTTGTTTCCAAATTAAAACTGCTCTTAGGAGGAATCTCATCGCGCATCCGTTACTAGTAAATGATATGATGTCTTCGTCGAAAATTTCTGACCGTGAAATCATTATGTATTTCTTGAATCACTACTGGCAAAATAGAACTATTGTTTGAAAAACATAAAAGAATACGTCATTGATTTACCAGTGGCTTGGAGTAAGGCTTTATAGAGCTTCGCATAACCGATTCCAGCATTTTCCTCGTTTATGGAAAGACGAGATTCATTCGCATGAACCACAAAAAAGGCAACATCCATCTGTAGTTTAGGAATGGCCTCTTCAGCCACATGCGACATTTTAGAAAGGCGAAAACTTGTCTTGACGATGTCGAAGCTGAGTTCTTGTCTTACATCGCCTTTCATGTTAAGAAGCAATTTCTCCACTGAGTCTAAACTGTACGTTCCGTCGCAATTAAAAAGAAAGACACGTTTGCGACATTTTTTCCTCGCGATCTGTTGTGTTTCATCCTTAATTGCGTCTGAAATACTTCGCTCTATTTCGTTCTCTTCATCCATGTTAACCGCTGTTTACCGTGAAAATGAAAATGACGTTGTTTCTGAGAAAAATGCATGCCGGTAAATAGAACGTCACGCGAACAGACAGGAGGTGCGTGACACCGAGCGGTTTGGTCTCCTTCAGCTAACGTAAACTGTGACAATAACTAACTTTGCTTATTTCGAGTGATTTATATCCAGCACAAACTTAGTGTAGTAACAGGGTTACTTATTCCTTTCATGTCGTGATAAATTCAAGCACACACACTAATTGCAACACATCGTCGTTTTGTACAGCGCGTATTTTGTCTAAACGCAATAACATCTCCCCGACCAAATGATGCTTGTGTTGTTTCACCGGGATTATACCAGGAATTTCTAATTCACAGATATTTCTGAAAAATAAACCGTTTACAAACACGGCACGAGACATCATTCCCCCATATGAAGGAAACAAAATATCAAGAGTAACATCAGATAATCTAAAATGACAGATGAGGCAAGAAATGAACCAAGCTATAGATGTCAATCAACTGAAACTGATCTTCGATTAACAACCATACATATACATCTACATTTACATTTAACTGACAACGCTTTCACATCAAGTCAATAATTGGGTAAATAAATTACAATATCATTATTCAGCAACAGAGTTAGATAAAATACTTAGAAGTTATATATAATGACAATTACGTTTTGAAATAGTAATGAGCATATTTCATTAAAAAAATTTAAAAAAATTTAAAGCAATTAAAAGTAAAAATAATAAATAAATAGAAAATAAATAAAACATTTAAAAATTTAAAAATTTTTAAAAATTTTAAAAAAATCTACAAGATATTTATACAAATAATAAAATAAAACATCGATCAATTATTTCTGATATACGAGGCACAGTTATCTTTAAATGATATGTACATTGAACTAGCACGAATGTTACTCGGTAAAGTATTCCAGTCCCTTATTGTTCTTGGAAGATTACTATAAAGATAATAATCATGACTGCATCTTGGTTGAATAAATGAAATATTATGAAAAGATCCAGTGAAATACTGTTTGAGTAAGAAATAATTAGGATCGGCAATGCGATCAAGTTATTAACCGCGAAATAAAATAAACTCAATCGATGAACTTTACGTCTATCCTCTAATTTATCTAAGTTCAATGATTTTGACATTTCTGTAACCGAAGAAGTTCTCTCATAATCTTTTTTAAAGAATCTGGCTCCGCGTCGCTGGACTGCCTCAATCTTGTCAATCTGCCTTGCCTGTAAGGGTCCAATAAAGCATACTCCAAGTTCTCAAAGTTCCACACAGCATACTCCAAGTTCGGTCTGACAATAGTTGTATGAGCGCCTAGTACTTTCAGAACGGGGATAGAGGTTGCGATTTACAAAGCCAAGTGACCTGTTTGCTTTAGCCAGTATATTATCTACATACAAACAGTTCTGAGCGCCTTTTATCAATAGCACAAGACAGAATTATTGTTACGTAAATATATTCCTTAAAACACATGTTTACCGGAACATCTTTACAAAAATCTACAGTCTACTTTACCCGGCTATAATTTGAGGATTTGGTTTCAAACGTTTAGAAATGATCATGATCGTACACAGTAGTCCTTATTTACCAAGTTATTTTGATGACCCTTTACATAGATCATGTAACGCCTAATTAGAGACGCTTTTCATTCAAAATTGGTCACACTCATTTTGTATGCACCGATGATTTTCACAAAGAGCGAGCATTAGGCCTACCAACGGTTTACCTGATTTGTAATCCGATATGAGTAAGCTGTCTCATAGCTTAACTGAATGCAAAAAAAAAACAACACTAGTGGTTTCACGATTCCGGCCTCGTCGGATGTTGTACCTCGCCAAACAAAGGTACCCTTGTGAACCAATCTTACTAAAGTTACATAATTTCCACCCCAACGATAACGTTACAACAATTCTAGATGATAAAATTATCACTCAGAGACAAGGTTCATTCAGAATGGCCCTTTAAGCCATATGCGACATTTCACAGAGTCGAAATATTTCTTGACGATATCTATGTTGAGTCCTTATCTAATACTGCCTTTCATATCAAGAAGCTGTTTCTCTACCAGTGTAAACTGTACGTTTTGTTGCAGTTTAAAAAGAAAGACGCGTTTGCGACATCCTATCCTCGCTTTATGATGTAGTTCATCGTCAATTTCGTATGAAATACAAGGCTCTATATCGCTCTGTTCACCTATGTTTAACCGTATCAAGAAATGGGCGATTGTTGTGGGTTAAATTCGACTTCACAAGTTCAAACAAAAGCCTTTTGTTGTTTGTTGCGCTGAGGAAATTGTGCCAAGACTCGGCGAAGATGAATGTCAAATCGTCGCAAAATTGTCGGCGTGTCAAATTAGCGGCACTAGGGGATAGGGGTTAGGAAAGTCGCTCATGAGAGTGCTATTAACAGAGGGGTACCCAAGGGAGAAAATGCCCTTCACTATGCTTGGTCTCTCAGTATATTTTTTTTTATCAGCGAACCAGTTGATTATAAATTTATTACCACGATAAGGATGCTTTGTTGTTGAAAACATTCACGAACTATACTCGGCAAGAGGATGAGAGTTAAAAAAGCAAACTAAACAAAACTGAATCTTTTTTGAACAGCTTTTAAAGGTTTTCAATGTGGACATAAGCGTAAATATTCCGTAGTGTAACATGTCCTTAGCGTTTTTTTTTTCTACGAATTACATACCGAATAGCCATTTTAGATGTATGTAATAAGGCTTATTCACTATTGTTATTAACCCCAAACAATATACCTGGAAATGCTGATTTTTTATACTGTACTTTGGATCACAACGCTGCAAAACGATGAAGCTTTTATCGAGGGTTTCACTTGGTCAAGAGTTGTGAATTTTAAAACTAACTTGCCTAACTCGTAGAAAAGAAAGAAAAGAAAAAGGTTCGTCCGAGAAAACTCGCACTTTGGACTGGAAAAATCGCCCGATTAAGCCGTTGGATTGAAAAAAAAGGATCAATGTGGTCGTTCTAATTTAGTTAGAAGTTTTTATCGATGGTTTTACTTAGTCAAGAATTGTGAATTTTAAAACTAAGTTGCCTTACTCGTAGAAAAAGAAAGAAAAGAAAAAGCTTCGTCTATGAAAACTCGCACTTTGAACTGGAAAAATCGCTCGATTAAGCCGTTGGATTGAAAAAAAGGATCAATGTGGTCGTTCTAATTTAGTCTTAAAACAATGAAAGCATTGGTTGATAGCGCGGCTCTTATCAAAGAAGCGCTAGTCTTAATACTATCACGCTTTCACTCTCGTAACGTAAAGAAAAGAGAAGGAAATTTTGTGTTTGGGAAAATACCACTTAGGAATTAAAAAACGCTCAACTTAAGTGGTTGGATTGAGAAATGATATTTAAAGGTTTATGTTCTAATTTAGTCTTGCAGCGAGAACACTGGCGGCGCGCGCGGCTTTAAACAAAGAGGTGATAGTTTTAAAACTATCTAGTTTTAGTCGTTACGTAAAACAAAATAGAAGAAAGAATTGACGTTTGGGAAAACACTTCTTAGGAATTAAGAATAACGCCGAGTTAAATCGTGAAAGTGGACTGACGCTGTTTCTGAGGAAAATACACGCTAGTAAACAGAACGTCACGCGAACAGACAGAATTGACTGTTGCATGATCGATGGAAGCGATCAGAGCACAACTCGAAACGAAGGGCTAAAGATCTGGGGTCAACTACGTCATTTGTTGGAAACGAAGTCCCACGAAACGCGTAAAGCGTCGTATCCTTCAGTCAGTTAAGAAGAGGAGGAGTGTTGCAAAATCGTCTCCTATTTCACAATGGGAATTGAAGGGTCAAAAGTTGTGAGTACATCTACATTTTACTCTCTAAAGACTTTTAAAACATTTAGAAATGAGATAAAATATGGTAAAGTGAAACTTTATTCATATCCAATTACTTCACCGAACATGAAAAAGGACAATATCACAACTTTAGTTTTCAAAAGACAGAGGAAAGTGTTTTAAAGCATCATTTACTATCCTCTAGTATTTATAAAATAATGCAAAGGTGACATTCTTATTTATTTGCATCTACCCTTTCAGTTAAACATGAACAATTAAGAACAGTATTAGGACCTCAGTTAGTTTCAAAAGACAAGGAGAAGAGTTTTAAAATGTATATCCATATCCCCTGGTATTTGTAAATGCAAAAGTGACATCTTTTTTAAAGTCATCATATATTTCATGCACCACTGGTAATAGCAACTAACAGGAGCATGCATTTGCTTTTGGGAACTTGGATTTTTCACCACATTGCTCAGGTGCATGAAGGAAGCCAATGTGCAGTTCTATACCACCTGGGGAAACTTCCCTAACTCCACTCACAAGAAAAAGAATATCTCTAAATGTCAATTCTACTGTTTTTTCTTCAATATCTTGTAAAAAATCATTCCACCGTGACAACACTAGCCCTTCAAGTTGACGATTGTTTGAACCAGTTTCACTATAATGGACAAAAAAGACAACCAAATAATTCTGCAGTTAGTGTTACTTCAGAATAACAGAAAACTTCTTTCAATTTATCTTAATTTTCTTTCATAGCTATAAGGACACTTAGTTGGGATAGCCCCCCTTTAAATCGTTCAAATGCTGCATGGACCCTCTCCAAACCAATGAGCAGTCTTGTCAACAAGATTTAAAATGTCTTCCTGTTTTCTTAAGATTTGAAGGGTACCTGCAAGCTCTAAGACTGTTTCTAGATTGTGATCTGAGATTAGCTTTTGAGCCTCTTGAACAGATGTGGTATTCTTTAGAGCCTGTAGAGAATTTTAGAGGTCAAAATCATAAACATCCTCAAGACAGACATTTGCTTGTGTAACTCCTTTTGTCAATGCATCATACAAGGGAGGACCAAAGCATCTTGGTCCAGGGCCACCATGGACTATGGACATTGCAATGAACTCACCAGCATAAAAAAAGTAATCATTTCCCAAGTAGTTAGCATTGCATGACAAAAAAT